ACATTAGGTATACGTGAGTAAAATTTAGATTTTGAGTGTGGCCATACAAATTTGCAAATGTTTTTGAATGGCAAAACAGACCAAAAAATTCACACTATTTAGCAGGGAGGTGCAATTTTGACTAAGTTACAACTTCTTATTTCTTCCAGGTAAACTTCCACAATTATTTCCACAATGAAAGATAAGATGCAGAGGGTCAACCTATCAACGGTATCTGAATTTGTTCTTGTAGGCCTTTCTGATGCTCCGGAGGTCCGTTTTCTTCTCTTTGTGCTGTTTTTGATCATTTATTTGGCTACCATGGCAGGCAACATCACAATCCTTGTTGCCATTAGCACAGACACTCGTCTGCACAACCCCATGTACTTCTTCCTTGGCAACTTATCCTTACTGGATATCTTATGTCCCACTGCCACTGTGCCAAAGATGCTGGAGACCTTGTTACTTGAGAACAAGGTCATTTCGTTCGCCGGCTGCACGCTCCAGCTCTTCTTCCTCATTGATGCTGTAGGCACAGAGATTTTTCTCTTGGCTGTGATGGCGTATGACCGTTACGTTGCAGTGTGTCATCCACTGCAGTACGTGAATATCGTGAGTATGGAACTGTGTGCTCGCCTAGCCATTGGCATCTGGGTAGTAGGATTTTTTAATTCTCTGTTGCACACATCTTTGATTTCCACACTCTTTTTTTGTGATTCTAGGGAAGTTGACCAATATTACTGTGATATTCCTCCTATGCTGGCCCTGTCCTGCTCACCTACGTACAGTAGGGAACTGGTAATTCTCTCAGTTGCTGGGGTCGTGGGAAGCAGCGCCTTTGTTGTCACTCTGATCTCATATATCTACATCCTCTTGGCTATCCTGCGCATGAACTCTTCCGAGAGCAGGCACAAAGCTTTCTCCACTTGTGGTTCTCACTTGATGGTAGTATGCCTTTTCTACGGGACCACCATTTGCACATACGTACGGCCTTCCTCCACCTACTCACCTCACCAGGATAGGATAGTTTCCATGCTTTATGGAATCCTCACTCCCCTGCTAAACCCCATAATCTACAGTCTGAGGAACAAAGAAGTTAAACGTGCCCTAAGAAGAGTGATCCGCCAGGTAAGAACTGCTTTAACAGGACAAGAACATCTCTCGGTCTCTGGTGTCCTCTGGAGCCCCAGCAATTGGATAGGCCCTGCAGTTTGTGACTGATCTTCTCTAACTTTAGCCATCTAAAAGTTAGAGGTTGGAATCAAAACTCCTTCTCTGGGCTCCCTTTACAGTCAAAAGGGAGAGGTGTGCACCTCCAGAAGGCCAACTGGATGGCACAGCTCTAGGTCATTTATCACAGGAGGAGATGACTTCAGCTGGTAATGTTTTTCTCCACTGAGCACAGAGGAGGCTTAGATGAGAGCCTCAGCCTTAGACACAGGTGTTGGACGCATCTCTTGGAGCCTGAATGCTGGGAGTTGGTACCACAGGCACACTCAGACACGCGTTCTTCTGTCCTAAAGCAGCTTACAGGACTGGCGCCTCTTATTGACCACGTTGCTCCTGCAGAAAAGGCAAGCACATCCTTTGTGGGAGATTGACTGGAAGGAAGGCTCCTTTGCCATCGTTTAAGGTCCTCAGTCTGGGTGTGTTTTCAACCAGCATGCCAAGAATCCAACCACAACACCTGCAGTGCCACCAGGCACAATCCGGCCGTCGTTTGCACCATATATCTCAAAATTGGTCTGCCAGAGTGCAAATCAAGTCCCATAAACTAGAGATGTCAACTACGCTGATAGCTATACATTAGACAGCTTTCTAGGACTTCTTTTATGGCCAGTGGTGGGGAAAGGGAGGCTTTGCCGTCATGGGCTTTGTGACCATAGCAGAGGCACACCCTGGCTTTTCTCAGTGCTGGCATACTGAAGGAAGGTTTACAGAGTGTGCTTTAGGTCCGTGGGAGTCCATAAGTAGGAACGGTGCTTCATTCCAGGCAAAAAGTGAAGACGTGGCTGACAAAAAAGGGGAAATGGATGTGCAGAGAGAGGGAGTGCTGTGCGGTCTCCTCTGATCGTGGCAGCTATATATCTGGGTGTATCTTCGCTACGAGGCTCTGTGCTGGGATGATAAACTCTTACAGCTTGAGATGAACCTCAGGCTGTGTTAAAGTGCTGTGGCATGTCATTCCAGCTGCGCTCCTGGCATGCAATAACTGATGTGACTTTGTTTGCAGACTACTCCCTGCTAAAACCCAATGTCAAGGATGTCTGTCTTAGTGGCCTGTTTTGTGGTTGCTGTCTTGGTGTAAAGGATAAGCTAATGACTTTCCTGCAGGAACTCATATCTTAGTGGTAATAAATGCACATTCTTAATATTAAACCAGTGGAAATAATGTAAGCTTCATCCACTCTCAACTGTTGGCCATGTTGACAATGGGTTCAAAAGTCAACTGTAATGACCAAAGAATTTCTCTAGGGTAATACATTCTGGATTTTCTGGTTTTGTTTTTAAGTATATTTCACCAACTTAAGAAAATGCATGCAAGTCCATTCAAGACCACTTGAATTTCAAAGTCAAGCATTAAGAAGTTGGTAAGGCCACCCCATGTAGATGTAACAGTGCAGAGCTTCCCACAGAGTTCAATGTCCTGACCTACAGCATGGTTGGGATTCAGTTTTCTAAACACAAGTTTTAATGGCATGCAAGCTGGCCCAGTGTGTTATTCCTGGTCCATAGTTTCTGATCCATAAAAAGTACAGACTACTGTCTAACACTAAAAGTGTTTCCCTTTTACACCTTGGTAGCTTTTTGAATGTTTGGTGTTGTATCTGTTGGATAGGAGAGCAGCAATCAACCACAAGTACCAGTGTGAGGGCTGATGTGCGCCGAGTGGGTCAGCGTTAATACAACCTGTGTATATGCCTGGATGGAACAGGGGACAGACCGTTTCAGCGAAGATGACTTCAGAAGTGTAGATGTGAGAGCAACCAGTCGTATTATAAAAGGAGGTTTTCCCAGCTTCATAGCTGAGGAAGACCTCAGCCTGCGTGGGTTTGGCCGTGAACAGCAGTGGGGTCAAAGGAGTGGTCGTGGCCATGATTTTCATGCCACAGCTGCGCTGCCCAGAAGCCCATCTCGTGCGTGGGGTCCTGACTTACAGCAGACCCCCACAGCCCGGTGGGTTTTGTCCCTACTTCAGCCCCTCAGCAGTGGTGGCTGGAGGCACAGACGGATGAGCCCAGCACGCGGGGGTAGGCGGTGAAATGCCGAGAGCCGCGTGGCAGCTCCTAGGTGATGCCGGTGAAATAGATGTCCCTGGGGCTCCCCGAGAGCACCAGGGTGGGGTGAGCTGTCCGAGGGTCCAGAGTCACTTCTAGGGCAGAGCAGGGATGATGGGGAAGCAGAGAAAGCCAAGGAGGGGAGAAGTGGATTCATGTGGGAAAGAGAAGATGATGATGATGACCCCCTGCCCCAGCACTACATCTTTCTGCTTTGCCACCGACACACACAGGCTTTTCATTGGATTCAGTGCATCCTAACTAGCTAGGCAGAGAAGGAAAGATGTGAGGCTCTACTTTCCTATGCTGGCCTTGTAACCCAGTCTTGGATGTTTTGTCCAATCTCTCTCTCACCCGGGAACAGAGCACTAGCTGCAGATGTGGGAGTCAGGGCACCCTTCTGGTGTCTATTCCTTTTGGATTTGAGGAAAGACCTGCTGTGACCTGTGTTCCTGCTCTGAATTCAATCTTAATTCCCCTATATCAGAAGAGCTGAGGGGGGAGAAAACAATCCCGGTGTTCTTATAGAGCATTTTCAACCACAAGTGAAGTCTTCCCTAGTGAAGACTTGTAGAAGGTTCAAGGTAGTAGGTTTTATTTGTTCCTGTGGCATCATAAAGCGGCATCTCTAATGTCATCCTTTCTGCTGGAGACTGGCTTCTGTGTTGGTACCCTGAACCCTGGAGCCCAAGCTACTTAGCTTAAGGATAATAATTCTTTTTTCAACACAACCATCCCTCCACTTAGCTCAGGGAGTTCATGGTTTAATTCCAACACTCTCTGAAATGCACCCATAGTTGAGCTCTTCCAGTGCTTAACGACTTCATGGTCTCCAAGTAACACCTTGTCCTACCCAGTCATGGTAATAAGATGTCTCTATCCTGCTAGATCCTGTAGGGATAGTGTATGTGTTTCCACATGTCAGATGGCAGAAACACAGACCTCTTCACCTTGTCTGAGGTGGAACTCGAACACAAAAATCCTCGATCCTTTTTAAAATGAAACCCCAAACATATTAAATTATGTTTTAGGGATTAGTCATGAAATCTCTCTCTGCTTGTTGGGTGTATGTCGTTTCCTGCAGTTCATCCCTCTTTTCACCACCATTTTGGTGGTACCTGGGTAGCTGAAATACAGGAGCTGATGTAGAGTATCTAGAAATTGGCAGCGTGCTACCATCATGTAGGCAGCCCTCCTTGAAGGGGTGGTACCTAACACAAACCTGGTGGAGCTGCCTGCTAAAACTTGGGCTCAACTGGCATAAAGGAACCCAGAAAATCTAGTTCTGTTTTAGGCTTCTATAAAGTCTTACATTTGAGATTTATCCTGCTATATTTGTCTTCCAAATAGAAAAAATCTTGAGCCAAAATGCTTACAAATATTCTCAATGGACTCGCCTGACGCTGTCTGTAGTTGCAGAGGTCACAACGTGAGGTGACATGTGAGGCACTACCATGTTACGGAGCCATTGCAAGAGTGATTGTCACCGTATGAAATGAGCTCCTAGGGACAGCTCGGTGACATACCCCTCCTTTGGGTGTGATGGGAAATAGGAAGCCCTGCGATAGGAAGGGGACTGCCTACTCTCTATCACAACAGGCAGGTGTGGCAACAAGCAGTCTTAGATATTGCTCCCTTTTCTCTTTGGCAGGGACAGCCAACTTACTTGCACATTTAATCATTCTCTTTTGATGAGTCTCAGGTTCTTTTAGACCTGTTTGGACTCTTGAATCTCTGTGGAACTCACAGAGAGAAATACAGCCTTGGTACTGTCCTTCGAAGGGCTTATTTGACCTCCTCGTTCTTCAGGCTGTAAATCATAGGATTCAGCATGGGAATCGCCAGAGCATAAAACACTGCGCTTCGAAGGGCTTATTTGACCTCCTCGTTCCTGAGGCTGTAAATCATAGAATTCAGCATGGGAATCGCCAGAGCACAAAACACTGCAATAAAGGAGAATTTTGAACAGGGTGGTAAGCACGTGAAGGAGCCTGTCCCACAGAAGACGGTGGCAGGAGTCAGGTGGGAAGCAGAGGTGGAGAAGGCTTTTCATCTGTCTGTGGTGGACTTAATCTTGTGGATGGCAACTCCGGTGCAGAGGTAGGAGATGAGAATGAGGATGGTTGAGCACAGGTGAAACGGACCGGAGCAGTGAGGTACGTGTGAGAGCAGAAGAGCTTCGAGATGGAGGGCACAGCACAGAAATGACTGATGATGGAATTGCAGAAGGACAGGTGGAATATAAATAACATCTGAATAGTTGCATTCACACAGCTCATGAAGTAGAAGGCACACACAAGGAGCCCACAGAACCTCTTGGACGTAATGACAGGGTAGAGGAAGGGGTTACAGATGGCTGTAAACCAGGCATACGCCGTTACAGGCAAGAGGTAGCACTCTCCTGTCACTGCCGTGCACCCTGTGTACGATATGACTTCTGTCTCGGCCACAAAGGTCATCATTCACTGGCTCTAGGTAGCTAACATCTAAGAAGGAAAGGATGATGATGATGAAGTACATGGAGGTGTGGAACCTGGAGTTGATCCAGATGAGCACAATCATCCCCAGATTTCCCATTAGAGTCAACAGGTATATTCTTCCTAAACTAAGATGTTTTGGTTTTGTTTTGGAATATTTTCCCAAAATTGTGTTCAGTGTGCTACTGGTTTTCAGTATTCCTTGGTGAGGAATGGCACAAACCAAAAAAACCCAAACCACCAACCCGCAGAATAAGACAAGAGACATATATGCGTATACAAACCTGAGTAACCTGCTGAAAATGTCAAGGTATCCCGGTTCGCAGCTGGCAGATATTCTAATCTAATGATTTGAGATTGTCTACCTACTTTCCTGTCAAAAAGAAAGCCTGTAATTTATCGAAGCTCACCACAGAAAAAAAAAAAAAAGTTCATCAACAGAAAGTAATGGTCCCAAACAGCATAAAATAGTGTAATTTGAATTTCTGAAGTCTCCTAGTATGTTGCAAGAAGCATCGAATCTTTGCTTGTTTTCCTTCCTCATGAGAGTAGTTTTTATTATCTTGAGTGCCGCCTCCTGGATTATTTATTCATGAACAAATTCATGAAGGTCCCTTGAGCCAGGGCCTTCCTCTTGGAAGCCCCTGCATGTCCAGCTGCTGTCCTGGTGCCCAGTGCCCTCTCTGCCCGCCCCGTGCCCCATCCTGCCCCGCAGGCTCTCGGGACGGAGCTGGGAGAGGTCGAGGGCAGAGGCAGTTTGGTGCAAGGGGACCCTCCTCTACCTTGGGTTCCCCATGGTTTGGGTTGGAGAGGGGCAATCCTCACCCCTGGGACATCCCCTCCTTCCTCCTCCTCCAAGCAGGGCCCATGGGACAGGGACACAGCAGGGACAGCTGCTCATACGGGAGGGACAGGACTCCCCCAGGACCCTGGGGTGGGGCTTGTTCTGCAGCAAACTCCAGGAAAACCACATCTCTCATGGACGTTGGGGCATGGTGGCCATGACTATGGCCCCCTGGGCATGCTGTCCCCAGCACAGGGCAAGAGCATGGCCTCACCTGGATTCTTGGGCTCCTGTCCGCCTCCTCCACCACCATCGGCTGTGGGGAAAGACCTTCGGGCACACCGGCGCTGGCTCAGTGACCTCGGCCAAACCCTGACCTGTGCTGTGTGGGGGTCTCTGCCAGCCCCAATTTCCTTGAGGAAATTTCTGTCTCTCTCCCCATCTGTATTTTTTCTTTTGCCATCTCTTTTTGCTTCTGCCCTTCACTATCTTACTTTCTTCACCTCTGTCCCTCTGTCATTCTGCCTCTCCTCTATCCCTCTATCCTGTTCCCCATCCCTCTTTTTTTATTTCTCCAACTCCGTCCTCCCTGTTGCTCTTTCTATCCTAGTATCCTTCTCCCTGTCCTCTTCTCTGTATCCCATTTTCCATCTCCCTGTCCCTCAACAACTTCTTTATCCCTCTGTCCCTTTTCCTGTCTTTTTCTCTGTTCCTAATGCTTCTTTCTCCATCTCTGCCTTGATCCCTGTCCCTTTTTTCCTCTTATTGTCCCTCTGTCCTTTTTCTTCTCCTTGCCTTTTCTCTCTTTATCTCTGTCCCGTTCTGTGTCCCATCTTTTCTCACTATACACCCCTGCAGGACTCGAAATGTCTCTGAATCATCTTCAGTCCTTGTGGGCAGCTCTACCAAATCGTTCTTTTCAGGAGCTAATCTAGGAATTAGTGCTTGCCACCTACTTTCTTACTGCATAGCTTGAACCAGCTATGCTGTGCTAGATGGTCAATTTTGTTCCTTGTCAGATGGCGTCCAAACACTATATATGACGTCAAAAAAAGGTCATACAGTGGGGAGAGAAGTGCCCACCTGCCCAGGACGATGCTCTGGAGGGCAGGGGACTTCTGGCTCTGGGAAGAACTGAGCATGAGCCCTGGGAAGATGGCTGGCTCCCGGGAGGCTGGCTGCGGTGGCAGGGAAGCAGACCTGAGGCTCTGGTGGACAGAGGGAGACTTTGCTAAGGCTTCTTACATTGCCCAGAGAGGTGGTAGATGCCCTATCCCCGGAAACATTCAAGGTCAGGTTGGACGGGGCTCTGAGCAACCTGATTGAGTTGAAGATGTCCTTGCTCGTTGCAGGAGGGGTTGGATTAGATGACCCTTAAAGGTCCTTTCCAACCCAAATGATTCTACGGTTCTATGATTTTGCAGAGCCTGAGGGAGCTGTGAAAGCCAAAAGATGTGAAATCTACCTGGAGCAGAGACTCCAGGTAGAAGGGATTAGCTCTGAAAGCCAAGAGGACAGTCAAGCACTGGAAGAGGGGCCCAGCCTCCATTCTTGAAGGTCTTCAAGACCTGGCTGGATAAAGCCCTAAGCAACATGATGTGAACTCCATGTTGAAACTGTATTAAGCAGGAGTTTGGAGGCAGAGGCATCCCTGAGGTCTTTCCAACCTCAGCCTGTGAGCAGCCTGGTTTTTTTACCAATTCTGACCATGCTGAAGAGCCAGGACCTTTGCAGAGACCCCCACGCATAATACGTGATGTGGAAACAGTAACGCTAAATCGGCCAGCACGTTGAATGAGATGTGCTGGTACATCCATGCACGCAGGCAGGACTCCTCGCTATTCTGCCACTGCTCTCTGCCGGCATGAGTATGGCAGAGCAGCTCCTGGATGTGTCTTCTTCATGGCTGTTGGAATGTTTTCCACTTACCATGCCTCTCTGCTTTAATTTACCATCCCTTTTTTGCTTTAATAGATGCTCTCAGGGGACTTCTGTGCATCCCTAATCCTGCTGTTGGCAGCAATTTTATCGCTGCTGCCAGGGAGCCACCGAAGAGAAGCCCTGGCTGAATTGCCACTTGCTCTCTGGACAACTCAATGTTGGTATCAGTTGGTGCCTACCAAAAGGCTCTGCAAGCCAGTGATGTCCTCCATGGAAGGAAAATGGTCCTTCCTAGATGACAGCATCCTGGAGGGAGCAGACCTGCAGGACCAGAAGGGCTGGGTGCTAACCCCAGCCTTTTCCCCAGCTGGTCTGGTGCCTTGGGGCTCTGGTGTGGGATGGTCCCTGGGTGCACCCAGGGTGCTCACTTCAATGTCACAGAGGCAAACCCACAGCCCCCACAGCTGCTGGTTATTCTGCAGGGGCCTGGCAGGAGCTGAAGCCAGCAATGCTTTCCCTGGGGACGCAGGGCTGTGAGCTGTGTGGACCCCAGACCTAACGGATGGCCCTTTCAGTCACCCCAGGAGAGCCGAGGGGACAGGGCTGGCTCTGCAGCTCCTCCAGCAACCTCCGACCAGTCTATGGCCAAGTGCATCCTCACAGGCAGATACTGGAGCTCATCCCACTTAGGTTTGGACATCTAACTCTAAGATCCCAAATGTTTCAGCCAGCCCTGTTACGATGGGATGGATCACCCTCAAGAAGTGGCTTCCACCACTGGAGGAGGCCCTCAGAAGCACTAAAGAGGATGTGTTGATTTTATAAGCAAGTGCTAAGGGAGATACAATGCACCACCTGCATTGCTACAAGAGCTGTTTCCTGAGCGTGCATCCACCTTTAGTTTCCACCACCTTCAAGAAGTGGTCTCCCACTGGAGCCAGCTCGGAAAACAGCTGGATCCCCTGGCCAGAACTGGTGGGTTAAAGGAGTCCCCAAACTGGGCTGGTCTTGGGTGTTAGGTATCTGGAGGGAACAACTATCTCTTTTTCCCTCCATGTTCTTCATGCTTGAGTTACTGGATAAAATGTGGAGAGCAGGATGCTGTGGCGAGAGCAGAGCTTGATCCTGATGCAGGTGAGTGCAGCTGTGAGCACAGAGAGCATCAAGTAAGCCCATCGCAAGCCCACCTGCACAAGCCAGAGGAGCACAGGGATGCACAGCGGCAGGTGGGAACCCAAATTAAGGACTTGCAAGGAACGACCATCCTGTCCGGGCCCTTCCCAGAGCTGTCTCAGCAGAGCCATCAGCTCCAGTGTCCAGTTGTGAAACCCATCACCATGAGCCATTGGGTGTAGCTCTCCAGACCAGGTGGGTCAGCTACTGGGACCTGGAAAGTCCTGACCAGTGTGATGGTCTGGACCAGCAACTGGAGAAGGGCTGCAGCCTTGGGAGCCCATATCTCCAGATATCAGCAACTGGGGAGACTGGGACCCAGGGGCAGCTACTGGGCAGACTGCATGTCTGAGCTCAGCTGCTGGAGGATCCACCTTTTCCATATGTGTGTATATATATACGTGTGTGTTTTTTTTTCTCACTAGTGGACTTCCATCCTGCTCTGCAAAAGAGGGGAGCAGGATCAGGCCGTCGGTGCTGTCTGTGTTCCTGTGGGAGCTCCAAGTGTCTGCCTGTGGCCTGTGTGACCACCCACATATGTATGTATACATACATGTACCTGTACACATGTATACATGTAGTGGGTATGCACGTTCTGGGAAGACATCTTCAGCCTCACTACCGGTTGGACCTGGGGAGATGCAGCGGCAGCAGCCTCATCTCTCTCGGGCTGTTGGATCACACATGATGTATTTCCCCCTAACAATCGCAAAACCAGAAAAGTGAGGATATAATAGCAAATTGATTTCTGTACTTTTGTTGACTTTTTCTTCAGTATATAAACATCCACTTTAACCAAAAATTGCAGTACAAACAAAAGTAGATTTAACCCAACTGGCCACTGCAAAGATAAACACTGATTTCCCTAAACTGATGCATTAATAAACAGTTATTGTAGTTTATTCTCCAGAAACAGAGGAAGAAAAAGTTCTTCCGATTCAATTCCTTCTACAAAATGTATTGTCTTGTGCTTATTTTTTTCTTGCAAAGTTAAGTACATAAGTAGTATTACTTATCCTCCACATGTATTATTTCTGATATATTGACAAACTCCCAAAATGTCAACTTCAGAGAGAAATCCCTACAGGACGCCCTTGGGGAAATCTCACTCTGTTTTTCAGGTGCCCTAGAGAGGCTATGAAGATTTATCCCATGGGCACGTGATCAATGGGACACCGTTCTGGTTTCATAAAGACCGACAGAGCCTGTTTTTTGCCTTCAGCATAATAATTGCTGAGTGTGGGTCTGCAAACAACATGGGAGACTTTTGAAATGAGAGAAGGTGGGTGAATTTCTGATACAAAGTCATGCTGTATGGTAAGGTGTTGACTGTCCTCACGAGTCTCAGGTGACAATTAAATAATTTTGTGCGTGGATAAAATCTTCCATCAACACCTGCTTGATGATCCTACCTGACTGTAATTTCACTGGGATGGAGGAGAATTACGAAAAACCGCAGAAGCTCTGATGTAAGGTAGGAAAAGTAAAGATTTTATTAAGAACCTAGTGATAAAGAATGCAGCAAAGATGCAAAAGAAGAGGAGGAAAATGACAATGCACATCGAATACACATTGAATAACACTTTTAAACATGGATTCACTAGGAATTTGAGTATCACAGTGGATAATAAACACAACAAATTAGGATTCTTAGTTTAGCACTGTGTTTAAAACACATGGCTAAAATTAGCTTTTCCCAAGTCTGTCATTTTGTCTTGTCCATGGCCCATCTTCAAAATGAAGGGTGGCAAAATCCCTTACCATTATTATTCAGTTTTGAAAGTTTCTCTGAATCACTGGTATCCAGATAAATGGCATAATAGTCTGAAGTTCCAAGTCTGGCTTTGTAGGCACCCGTAGGTAGCAGGACACGACCATTGCTCCTGTAGATGGTGCTGCAACATTTGACACCAACATAAAATTGCAAAAGAGTGTAACTTTCTTGTTGGCATGGCTGCTCCATCCTTTCATCTCATTCCCCCCAGTTAACTTGTCCTTACTCTGGACCTTCACTTGAAGGTCACATAACATACGAAGGCCACCTGCTCTCAGTAAGTTTTCTTCATCAGTGGTGTTGTTTCAGTGGTTGTACGCACTTGGTTATATCTTAGATTATTCGTTCCTTTGCCATATGTGCAGACCTTTCTCCTCTCAGCAATCTCAGCACAAATTTAGACACCTAAACTTCCTAAGTGTAGCTCTACACTGTCTGTCTACCCTCTCGTTAAATGCAAGAAGTAAGCACCTATAAGTGATAATTGTAGAGAGCTTAAGGTATGTCTTAGTATACTGAAAAGGGGGTTGGAAAGTATGCAATTGTAGGTATCTTTGAGGCTCTTTGAGGAAGACTGAACAATGAAAACTTCCTTATAGAGAAGTAATATGTAATTCTGTAAAAATGCTGAGATTATTCTCACTTGATTGATCCCTGAAGTTTCTGATTAGATATGTTTAATAAAAATCTATATTATTTAACTACAATTGTCTCTGGATTTTTAAATGAATGATATGTATTTTACATGTATGCTTGAGCAGTTTTGCATCAACTATGCAAAAGAGACCAAAATCCTGAACTGGAAAGGAAGTAATGAAGGGAAAATTTGCCTTAAGATTTACCCACTTTGGCAATCTTTGGTCAAAATGTTAAAAGTGAAAGTGTCGATCTTCAGGAGTTGTGTTGTGTGCATGATGGTCTGCAGGGTGACAGCTGGGATTGATATCCTCTCCCGTTCAACATCTACAGTGCAACTGTCAACATCTGAGCAGGTCATCTACCCTCTGAGGGTACCCATAGTCCAGGTCCCCTCAGAGGGTGAGTTGTCTTATCCCAAGCAAAATCGTTCATAGCAGGTCAGAAAAGCCAATTTTTTTTTTATGTTGCCTGGGAGGACAGATAATCAGCTCGCTCATAGCTGTGTGTAGTATGGTCATCCAAAGCAAGCTGGATCTTACTTCTAACGACGGAGGAATCAATGCCAGAAGGAAGGACTATACCTAGCCTGTGGATAGATAAAAAGATATAGCTAAAAAGCACAGCCACTGTCTCCTAGGATGTCAAATTCCAAATTACACTTCCACTTTGTGATGGAACCTTGTATTAACGGTAGCCTTAAGATGTTTGAAATGAACTAGATGTTCGGAATACAGGAAAAAATCATCAGCGTGAACAAGGTTACATGACTGCAACTGTGGACAGGATATTTATGAAACACTTCATGTGCCCCAAAAAATCTTTGTGCAGATATGGGACTTGAAACCAGAAGGGAATCATAGGTCGAAGGAAAGGTTGTGACAAACTGCTTTCTGTTAAGGACTTAAGCAAAAAAACCTTCTAAGAACCGCTGGTGTTTCTTCCTGAGATGGCACTGTCATTGCAAGAAAAAAATCAGCAGTTCTTACTTTTTTTTCTTTTCCATTTAAATTCAGTGACAAGTTCAACTTTTTACATTGATATTTATGAAGTGGAAATCGCCTCAGGAAGTTTTTCACCCTCTTCCCTCCACGTCTCTCTGCAGCGATGTCAAAATGGCTGATGAGAACTGCACCGAGGTCACCCAGTTCACCTTCTCGGGACTCACAGAGCACCCACAACTGAAGCTCGTCCTCTTCATGCTCTTCTTGGGCACCTACATGTTGACGTTAGCTGGAAACCTCGGCCTGATCGCCCTCATCAGGGTCAGCCCCCAGCTTCACACCCCCATGTACTTCTTCCTCAGTAACTTGTCCTTCTTAGACATTTGCTACTCCACCACCATCAGCCTCAAGATGCTGCTGGACTTTCCAGCAAAAACCAAAGTAATTTCTTTTACTGGCTGCCTCACGCAGATTTATTTCTATACTGTTTTTGTTACAGCTGAGACTTACCTGCTGACTGCCATGGCCTATGACCGGTACGTGGCCATCTTCAAGCCCCTGTTCTACAAGGTTGTCATGTCCCCTGGTGTCTGCATGAGCCTGGTCGCTGTGTCCTACCTTTCAGGGCTGCTCAATGCCACCGTGCACACAAGCGCCTTGCTCCGGCTGTCCTTCTGCGGTTCCCTGATCATCAACAACTTCTACTGCGACGCGCCACCACTCCTTGTTGTCGCCTCCACTGACACGCACCTCAACGAGGGTTTAATGTTTGTGATTGTGGGTTTCAATATAATCGCCACCAACCTGCTCATCCTCACCTCCTACGCCTGCATCGTGGTGGCCGTGGGCAGGATGGGCTCCGCCACAGGCAGGCGCAAAGCCTACTCCACCTGTGCCTCCCACCTGACAACCGTCATCATTTTCGATGTGTCTGCTTGTTTTAATTACATGCAACCCATTTCATCGAACTCACTGGAGAGCAAGAAAATCGCATCCATCTTCTACACCATTGTAGTCCCCATGCTGAACCCCATGATTTACAGCCTGAGAAACAAGGAGGTGAAGCATGCCCTTACCAGTTTTATCAGGAGGAAAATGTACTTCTGAAAGACAATCTCATGTTATATTATTCTCCTTTTTTTCTCTCTCTAAGGAGAATGTTTCACGTAGGTCTCTGAGACTGGTGCCTCCAAAACCATTTGGCACTTCATATGTCAGGGCTGAAAAATTCATTAGTCTGCTCTCAAACTGTGCCCACTAACATAGCTACGTCGCTCTTGTCTCAAGAACAAACTTCTTGCCCAGCTACTCTACCTCCCACGTAATAATCATGATGCTGCTGTGCAAAACAAGGTAAAAGGCAAGACTATGAGCCAGAGATGGTGACGATGTGGATCTTCACACAGAATCACAGGACGGCAGAAGTTTGACGAGACCTCTGGACATGACCTAGTCCAACCACCTGCTCAAAGCCAGGTCAACCACAGAGGCTGCCGAGGCATGTCCACTCTGAATATCTTTAAGGATGGAGACCTACAACCTTTCTGGGTTTTCAGTGCTTAATCACCTTTACAGGAATAAAGCTTTTCCTTATGTTTAAACGGAGTTCCCTGTATTTCAATTTAGCTTCTCACTGGGCACCACTGAGAAGAGTTTGGTTCTGTTCTCTTTATTCCCCCCGCCAACAGGTATTTACACTCACTGATAAGATCCCCCCTGAGCCTTCTCTTCTCCAGGTTGAGCTCGCTCCTGGAATGAGATGTCCTAGTCCCTTCATCCCCTGCACTGATCCTGTTGCAGCATGGCGTTGTCTCTCCTGCACTGAGAAGCTGAGACCCGAACACAGCAGCCCAGATGTGGTCTCACTGACTTGACCTGCTGGCAACGCTTTCCCTAACACAACCCAGGAGGCTTTTGACCTTCTTTGCTGCAAGGTCTGGCTCATGGTCAGCCTCATGTCCCACTGGACACCCAGGTCCTCCTTTGCCAAGTTGTCTTCCAGCTGGTCAGCCTCCAGCCTTTACCGGTGCCTGGGGTTACTCCTCCCCAGGTACAGGACTTTGTTGAACTCCATGAGGTCCTTCTTGACCCATTTCTCCAGCCTTTCCAGGTCTCTCTGAATGGCAGCACAACCAGGGTGCAGTAGTTGGGAGTTCCCATCAAAACACTTGCAGCTGCTTAGAACCGTCACTCTTTTTTGGTTAACCAGGACTATTTGTTTCTATTTTCCATTTTTGTTGAAGAGTCTGACTGCAAACCATACTTCCAGAATGCTTGGGGCGTATGCTGAGTGAGCATGAATTTTAATGTGCAGTGCTAAATGAAGAATATTTTAAAAGCCATGATAAAATATGAAGTTTTATTAATTCTGAACAAGCTTATGTTATATATCTGAATATTTTTAGGCTGAATCATAAAATGTTGCACTAACTTATTTGTTGACAACCGCTAGCCTCCAGGATAGTAAATATATAACTTCATATCCTTAACTGAATGTACTTTTCTGTATATATATAAAGAACACATTAAATGAGCCGTTCAAATTCATTTTCTACCTCTTTCCTTAAAGTAAGCTTTCCTATCTAGATTATATTAGGAGCCAGAGGCACTTCTTCCATTTGCTTAGCTCAGCTCAGAATATGAAAGCGATCAAGTACAAAACCTGGGGCTCTGAGCTGAAGTTAATGCTTTTTATTTCCCCCTGCGCATTGCTTTATACATAGATACGCTGAATTTCACCAGCCATCCTCTCGCTCAGCCTCTCCTCACGCGTGACTCCCCTGAGAGCACCTCAGGGTGCGGACCCCTGCCCTGTGCTCGGTGTTTCTCAGCTCTCCCTGTGCTCACAGGGGCTAGCTCCGGGTCGCATCGAGGAGCTCAGGTCGTGGACCACCCCACTGGTGATTCAGGCAGGTGCTGGATGCCAAGAGGTTCTCAAAGAGAAATAAGGCGCTAACGTCCCCTTCCCCAGTCTAAAGTGAGAGGTTACCAACTCCCCCAAGCCTGCCAAGTCGTTGGCCTGCATAAACGGTGAATTCACCGGGACTGATAGCATTTTTCCCAACAGTTAGCATTTTTAAGACATTAATTTTATTTCATACCCTATCAAAGTGAATTGTTTTTAAGCAGCAGGACGCCTTGGGGAGATGCAAGGCTGCAACGCAGCAGCAGACGGGACTATGTTTTGACCTGTGCAAGGGAGGGAGATGGAGGGCAAGTGTTGGGATGAGCCTTGGATGGCTGCAGATCACACCATGCTTTTACTGATGGAGCTGGCTATCACAGACCTCAGCCCCTCAGGAAGCCAAAACCAACTGAGAATTGGGGTAGGGCCAGGACCCTGATGGCAACAACAGGTCGTAGTGGTCCTGATCAGACTCACCTGGTCTTTTCTACCCCCTGCTACATGCACACTCATCCCCTCCCATGGACCAGGACTCTCCATTTTAGGGGGCCTTCAGGCCTTCCCTACATCACATTGTAGGGGTGCCTGGCTGTATCTGGCTCCTGGATGGACCTTGCACCTGTGCCACAGATAGTTTTATTCCTGGATGGGCAAAAGTGTGTACATTGTATTTTGTCTCCAGTCTCATCGCCTTTTGCTTCTGACTGGACTCCCTGCATGAACCCTGAATCTTGTTCATCATCTGCCATGGCTGTGGTTGTTGATGGACCCCTTGTGATGTCCTGAGCACTTGTTGCAAGGTGGTGATTGACTTCTGCCAACCAGCAGTTGTTGGCCAAGGGCAGCTGCTCTCTCAGCTGCTGGTGGTGCAATGCACAGATCTGTCATCCTTCAAACTCCACTGGTAACTTCTCTACCAACCCAGTGGAGGACTGGAAAGGTGTATGCCATCCCATAAACTCTCCAACCACCCACTTCAGGGTGCGGAGTAGTTGTGGCAAACTAAATTGCTTTAGAAGTGCTCATTGCCTTTAACAAAGCGGAAAGTTTCCTTCTCCTTTGAGTCCATGAAGTTATCCCCAGGGTCTTGTTAGGAAGAATGAGGTAGGTTTACTATGGGCTTTCTAAGAAGGTTTCAAGATCATTAGATGCTTCTTCACGGTGGCCAGAAGGGCTTGTTAAGCTGACGACCCTTGGGTGGCTGGGCCCCAGGGGAGTTCCTTGTTTTGGGAAGGGGAGAACTATAATTTGTGATGGAAAGAGATTTAATGACTTAGTTGATGTTGGAGTTCAGGCCTGCTGAGAGGCTTCCAGCAGGTCATGCTATGACTATTGCCTCCACCTGCTGCTAGACAACGCCTCTTATTTGGTTCGTTAAGGATTAAGAAATCGCCTGTTCTCCCTACATGTACAGTTCATATGCATTTGCCTTAACTGATCAGATACTTTATCTTTGCCTTATCTTCCCTAACTTTCACTCGTGGGAAGAATATTTTTTTAAAAAGTAAAGAGTCCTTTAGATGTGGTGGGAACCTGGGTTGGCCTAGGAAAAGGCTGGTGTCTGACTCTGGCTACACTTGCCCTTTTCTGGCCCACTCTGCACTGAATATCTTTGCATTTATCTTTGTATTTACCCGCTAAAGGCTTCATCTATCCAAGGGCTCACTTCCACTATCCCAAGAGACTCTGCAGGAGATGCAGACTTCTGCAGTACATAGCCCACCAGGTCCAAACTCAATTCCAGGCTCACTCGGTTGACATAATTCAAGGCTAATTAATGCTCCTGGTAGGTGGCTGGAGGGTCTTGGTCCGGGATGGTGCTGAGCAGCAGGTTTTAGCATAGCATGCTTCTGCTGGGGCTGTGAAGAATGAGTCGTTCACCAAAGTGGCAATACATCCTACCCCAGCAAGGACTTGTGCCAGATGTCAGACCCAAACCTTTCCCTTGGCCACCCTCAGAGGTGGTATATAGCATAGGGGCAGGCATCTGGCCTCTGACCTTCCCCCAGCGGATAGAGATCTGCCCAAAAACCCAAGCAAGGAGTTTGTCCTCATATGTTCTATATATTACATGGCATAAGAGGAAGGGAGTAGTTGAAGATACAACACTAAATAAGATTTCTCCTCTCCCTGCCAAGGAATGCAAGGCAAGAGCCACAGCTGGGGCCACGTGCCCTGCTGTGCGCTGCAGGAGAGCCCAGCTCTGGCTCTCTGGGATGTGTTTCTGGGCTCAGACCCACAAATGCCACCTCCAGATGTTGGTGCTCGATAGCAGTACAAAGAGCCAGGGCCGAAATTATCTCTTAGTTTGGTCCTTCCCTGTGTGGGACAGGTGTAAGCACACTTCTGGTGTGTAGGATACTGGCTAATGAGTGACTTTTCTTCACTAATTGCATTTTCCACACTTCAAACTCCAGGCAGGGTCAGGATGCATCAATCTTCCTCAAAACACCTTTCTAGTTGCTGCTAGGCAGTGGACAACAAGTACCAATCTCATCCAAAAAAAATTCCATCCCTTTCTGCTGGGACTCTACTTTCTGCTAGCTTGCAGAGGAAACCACATCAGTACAAATCCTGCCTATTAAGGTTGGCTGTTTTGTGTTGGAAAACATTAAAAAAAGAATGTACACCACTGAATTTTAATTACAAATTTGTGTATCTGGGACAACTGCTATTTTCAGGTGTGTTGTTAAACCTCAGTCGTGCCGGGTGGGGCGAGGCGAGGGTGTTTGCATACCTGTAAGGTTACGGGCATACTTGCATCTCTAAAAGCTGAAGTTCATCCTGCCTAACTCTGATAGTCTAAAAACTAATTGTTTAGAATAATCTTAAAACAGGTGTCTAAAAGTCAAGTTTTCCTGGACAGACCGAGAGGCAGAAACACAAAACAAGCACCAGATCACAGATGCCTGTAACGGCTGATTTGTATTTTACATTTTTTCAAGCATATTATTCGAGCATACCAATTTCATTACCTCCCTTTTCTGGAAAAAAAATAAAAAAATATATTAAGGTGAGAATTGCTTTCTTAGTCTTCCATTCACACAGGAATCAGCCAGACAGTGTATTGTCCCAGCAGCAGTTTGGATTTGGATGCCTTTCTTTATTACGGTTGTAGAATTCGGACAGCTTTCCCTCTGTCCCACGCTGGCTATGAATGAGCAGTTTTGTCCAGCACTTCAGTATCCTTTCCAGACTTGCA